CGTGGCAATCATAACAGGTTTTTTTTCTCCATTTCCTTTAAATGAAAGACGTTTTAGAACCCAAAGCGATATATTGTAATAGAACATTCAAATTGAAAGATTATCAAGGTCTATAATGGGCACTCAAGTTTTTAAGGAGATTTGGTTAGAGCTATAATTTAACCTCTGAAATTGCAAAAACAGTAAAACCATTCAAGCTCTTCAAAATTATGTTAATTTCATCGATAAGTGAACAGGTTCATATAATATGAACCCGGATTTGTTTTTATCTCTATCGATTTATGAGTTTCGAACAGCGGTATACTACTGTTGCCTTTATTCATATAATATGGACACTTTACTGCAGAAAAGTCATTTGTTATGTCACTATGATGCCAAATTTGCCCAAGCATGAAAATAAAACACAGGCAAAAAACATCCGGGTATCTGTGATGAGTTTATATATAAAGGTGTAACACCACTAATTCGGGCCCGGTCAGAAAGCACATACCAGAAAGTAGTACATATTTAACACAAAATAGTTCCTACGCATGGGTGTAACTTTCAAAATATGTAGAATATTTAGGTAATTTTGGTATCAAATGAAAGCTGAATGACTGGTGATCATTGAAGAACACTGATTGACTTATAATTTTGAAAAATAAAAAATTGCATGAAATTTAAAAAAGAGGGTACATTTTGCCTGTTTGTCAGATCTGAAGTACCTTTTTTGGTATATCTGAAGTTCCGGGAACCAGTTCTTTCTTATATGCCATTGAAGGTATGTTGATTTTTTTAGTACATGGCACCATAAAGTGTTGCTTTGACATGCAATGATTGTCACTTTATTTAAACTTGAAACAAAAGAGCTGTGCTTGCTTGAAATTGGGGAATCTAACATAGAAAGCAATGGGGCCATGAATTAGTGGTGTACTTCCTATTACAGAGAATCATCAGAAATTTAATTTTTATAAGTTGTACCTATTCCAATGAAAATTGGTCATATTTGATGTCAGTAATCATGTTTAATCAACTTTTTTGGATGAACAATTCTGTTTATTGGTAATTTCAGCTCTTAAATTGACACAATAAGGTACTTTAGCCTTTTATGGTCATACAACATGCATGCAGTTAAGACTTGACTCCAAATTCTTATTTTTCCATTATTTGGGATTGAAATCAATAAAATATGTATATTATGATTTGTTTATGGTAAAAAAATAGCTCCTGGTCAAATAATCCTATGATTTTTCAAGTTTTATTGGTTTTCTTATGGTAGCCTTTTACAATCTAGGCAATTGGTATATACTCATATAAGAATTCAAAAATCTCACTGTACATGCAATTTTGAACCAGTTTAGCAAGTTATCCAGCTGAGGGATATATAAATTGCTCTTAATAATCTATGTTGTACCACAGAAGTATGGTTTATACCAAAAATGTCCCTTTTCAAATTTGAAGAAAAAAGGGGGGACAATATTCTTAATTATGTCTTAGGTCTGGACTAATATATTTTTATTAAATGAACAACCTCTGTTAAAAATATGACTATTGGTAAGCACATTGCTTTCCTAGTAGAAATTAACAATAAGAAGCATGATATTGAGAATAAAAAAAATCATATTGGCCATTGGTAATATCCATATGCAGTTTTCTTTGCATAACCCATATGTTACTACTAGTCCAATTTGAGCTTAAAATCAATAAAATAGTGTTTGGACTAAAGCTTTATATGTTTTTTATTGGTTGAAATAGATCATAGAATGAAATAAAGTAATGCTGAAGTCAATACAGCAAGTTTGGTTCTGTTATAGGTGTAACACCACTAATTCGGGCCCGGCCAGAAAGCACATACCAGAAAGTAGTACATATTTAACACAAAATAGTTCCTACGCATGGGTGTTACTTTCAAAATATGTAGAATATTTAGGTAATTTTGGTATCAAATGAAAGCTGAATGACTGGTGATCATTGTAGAACACTGTTTGACTTATAATTTTGAAAAATAAAAAAATTGCATGAAATTTAAAAAAGAGGGTACATTTTGCCTGTTTGTCAGATCTGAAGTACCTTTTTTGGTATATCTGAATTTCGGGAACCAGTTCTTTCTTATATGTCATTAAAGGTATGTTGATTTTTTTAGTACATGGCACCATAAAGTGTTGCTTTGACATGCAATGATTGTCACTTTATTTGAACTTGAAACAAAAGAGCTGTGCTTGCTTGAAATTGGGGAATTTAACATAGAAAGCAATGGGGCCATCAATTAGTGGTGTACTTCCTAAAGTTAAAGCGAAAGTATGTATTGCATGCTAGATAATGTATTACAACGGATTGTTTTGAAAGGGGAAGATAAAAGACGAACATTCTAAATTCTACTGAATTTGCATTACTAACAAATTCAAAATTTTAAATGGCATAGTTGAATTTGAATATAGCAGTGGGAATAATATACCTTCAGGATTTTTCCAGGTGTCGTTAAAATTTAAAAAGTTATTCAATGCAACTAATTGTTCTTTAAGACAATTTTTGAAAGGCGGATATCCTTACCTAAAAAGAATATACTTGCATCAAAAGACAAAACAAATTTCGCCTTTAATAAAGACTAGTATCATTTTCAGTAAAGTTAAGCTAAGGAATATCCTTCTCGTTCATTTTTTAATAGATATTCAAATACTGCCAAAATCATCAAAAAACTATTAGGGGCCTCGGTGGCCGAGTGGTTTAAGTAGTTACTACTGTAATCACTAGCCAGTCAACACTGAGGTTGTGAGTTCGAACCCCGCTCGTGCTGGTGCAATCTTAATTGACTAGGATTGTCAGTTTTCCTATCGAAGGTCGGTGGTTTTCTCCGGGCACTCCGGCTTCCTCCACCAATAAAAACTAGCCACCACGAAATAGCCCAAAAGCGGTGCTTAAAAGTGGCGTTAAAACACCAAAAATCAAATCAAAATCAAATCAAAAATCTATTTGCATCTTTAATCAGTTAGACGAATTTATTATAAAACAAAACGTGATATATTTTTCCAATCTCAAAGTCAACACAAAAAGCTGTCATGTCGTTAATTTAGTAAGGACTTTAGAACTTTTTTAAAAATAGCGCTAATGTGAAATAGTTTTAAGGAAATTGGTCCCATATGTTTTAAGTCAACGTTCCTATATAAAACAAGTGTTGCATCATTACGTCTGGTGATAAAAATAATTAAAGTATTGCAAATGTATTCAGGGGCGATAACAAGAAACATGCTTTCTTATTGTATCCATGTAGGCAACATGTACTACGCTGATACTTTAATTGAAAATTCATATACTTTAAGAATTAAAAATACATGTTAAAACATGATAATCATGAATCACTAGTTACGAGACAAAATGGTATTACTGTGCACGTCATATCAAAAACAGAAATTTTACATTTGTCAAATATTTTACAATAAGCACACGTAAAGAGATGTTATTTTTTTTTTATAATTTGTGGAGATATGACAAAATTCGCACGAATTTATGACAAGTTGCATCTTGAATTTTTTTTTATAATAATAATAATAATAATGATAAAAGAATGTGAACATCAAAATATTCGCATTGTCTTCAGATTTTTCGTTTCCGTTAACTTTATAATTTTATTTAACATATCTTTTCGCAATTATCGGTCATTAATTATCTTCAACTTTGTATTTTCTTTGGCATTCCAACTGTTTTGTTTCGATTGCCATTGGTGAGTCTAATATAAAACGTTTAAACCCGCTGCATTTTTTTGCACCTGTCCTATGTCAAGAACCTGTTTTTTATATAGATTAGACCGTTGGTTTTCCTGTTTAAATGGTTTTACACTAGTCATTTTGGGGGCCCTTTATAGCTTGCTGTTCGGTGTGAGCCAAGGCTCCGTGTTGAAGGCCGTACTGTGACTGTGACCTATAATGCTTTACTTTTACAAATTGTGACTTGGATGGAGAGTTGTCTCATTGGGACTCATACCACATCTTCTTATATCTATAAACGCGCATCTGGCGTACGAAATTATAAGCCTAGTATCATTCATGAGTTTTTATAAGTATATGCAATTATTATACTAATGTTGTCATTTCATTATTTCTTGTACTTTTCAAAATAAATGTCATATCGTTCGCTTATATACGTCTTGTGTAAACGAAACGCGCGTTTTGAATTTAAAGCTTAGTATCTCTAATGAGTTCTTATTTACAGTTTATAACACGACTAAAATAGTTATTACTTTTCTGTTTGTACACTTAATGAACAAACACGGATGGAAACGGCAGTAGTAAGTGTCTCATTATAATAACAAATGACACAGATATCAGATTACTACGTCTCAATCAAAGCACATTTAATCTGTCTTAATACCCAAATGGATGCATGTAAAACTACATCACACGTACCTTTTCCTGGAAGAATTACAATTTGTGTTGTTGCAGTAATTAGGAATAATCCTAATGTTCAACAGAGACATGTATGTTTGTCACAATCTTGGGTAAATAGTAAATGGATGGGTTTTTCCCCTTTCATTTATTTTCATCAAATGTCTAACTGTTCGCATTTAATTAAGTTTCATCAGCAACGGTGTCATAAATCGTGATTCATTATCTTAAAGGTAGGAGTTATAATACCTGTTAATATGAATTAAAACACACTTTGGTGCGAATGCTTGACAGGTAAATTTTTCAGGAGATACTAGTACTAGAATCATATTATGCGGGGAGTTCATGTATGATATGAAAGATGACACGAAATGTTGTCAGGCTCATCTAATTTATTTACAGTCGCAATTTTTTCTCTGGAATATGTTTTACAGCTACTTTGTGAATATTTAAATGTTGATAATGCTAGCATCAGAGGTTTTACGATATCAAGCAACACGGAACTGCGAAACCATTAAAATAGCATTAATTTTAAAACTCAATGTTTTTATTTAATTATCATGTGGATGGAAGTACTGTATTCTTTTATAATAGTTAATTCTAGATTAAATCTTCTGGCATTAAACACAATGAACGATCATCTGAGTTTTGGATTCTTTATTGCAAGGTCTGAAATTATCAAAACAAATAAACAATCAATCATTATTATAATGAATCCTACAAATAACAATGTTAATGTTCATTAATATTGAAGCACATAATTTAACTTGTGAATTAACTTGTACCATTGCAGTGTAAAGTAAAATGTATTAATTAAATTGTATCTCTCTTTTATTAGCAGCGTGCAACAATACCAATTTAACAGTTCCGATTAAGCATTTATTTTAGTTAGCATATAAATAAAGTTAGGAAGAATTATAATGACAAAACCCTCTTCTTCCAATTTTCCAAATTCAATTTCTAAAGAAAACATACCTATATCGATAGGATTTCACCAGAATGAATATTTGTCTGTTTTATGTATTTTTATAATTATTTGAATGACATATACCATGATAACACAGTTTGACCACAACATTCAAAAATTAAAATTTAAAATAATCAGAAAATCGGAAAATAGTATCCTATTATTTTGACCTTGAAGAGTTTTGTTGAAAATCTTTAAACAATGAATCAATCAAATAAATACATTGTTCTGTCTAAGTGTGATGTACCATTGAAAAATTACCAAAAATCACTCCGCTCGCATGTGATCTAGACGTGCTATATAGAATTGTCGTCCTTCGTTTGGCCTATATCACCCTGCTCAGTCGCTTCGAAATTATCGTATCACGGTATTGAGACGTGAGCAGACATCATCAGGGACATCAGAATGTCTGAGGAGAAGTCATCAGCAACGTCAAAATGTGTGAAGAGACGTTATCAATTACAGGGTAGTCGTCATTAACCCAAATTAGTAGTAGTAGTAGTTTATACATTCGTCAGGCGTAAAACTGTCTAAGGGTGGAGAAGAGAACCTGAAACAGTAACAGAACGATAAAATAGATATCGTAATCTATCAGCCAATCGATACAATGTGAAGTTTTTTTAGCTCGTTCGCTCTGCTCAAGCGCAAAAGAGGTTCACAATGGGACTCGCGGTTGATATTTACAATATCATTGTGTAGAAAACCCGATAGTCTAAACGTATTATTCTCTATTCAGTAAGCTCTCTTTTGTCAATAGAATTTTTCAAGGGTTTTTGTTCGGCTCTGTTGCGATTTGTTCGAACAATTTCAGTTCAACAATACATAATAATTATATAGAAATATCAAAAATAAGCATTTAAACCGCTTAGGTCGTCGTCTGAACAATTTTAAGGTTTTGGTTATATACATATGCAACAATTGTCAATGCCTTGTTATAGCCTACTTCAATAAAGCTTAAAATCGATACACATTATTGTATTTCTCTTAAAAAACATTAATACTAATTCCGGATAATAATATGACGGCCTACTCGTTTTACTTTATTTAGTCTAACAGGATTTTGTTGCTAATTATACACAAATCAAATTTCAAAAGATAAACAAATGCAGACATCCGATTTTCTCTTCGTCATGAACAGTTTAAAGGAAAACGAATGTACTGCATTCTTTGTAATAGAAACTCGTAATAAGTTTCAATCAAATATGTCATGTGTTATACTTTTTACAAGAAATTCAGATTTACATGTAGATCAAAAGTACGTCTATTGCACCATTGTACCGTTCAATATCTTTTCCATGTAAGCGGTTAACATGAAATAAGTTTTTGTTCTTGGTTATTTTCAATGTTAATTTTTATGAAATATATATTACCAATTATACAGATGGTTATTCTATTATGAATTTTCATTTTCTTGTTACGAATGTCTGATTTCAAATGTTCGGAAATTTCTTCAGCTTTTATTTGTGTTCTGTTTCAACATGTTTAAACGTTAATCTTTAATTGTCGAGAGACCCCCAAGGGTGACTGGGGAATAGAAGTATGGTCACCATTGGTCTTCCTCCGACCGGCAGTAAAACCCGTGCTAAAGTGGGGCGTCCGTTTGGCTGTGCGGGATGTACAAATTTGCAGCCACGTCCGGTCAGAATGGGGACGTTAAATCCGATGTCTCGTGTAAAGAGAGTGCCACGCTCTTTGCACGTTAAGAACCCTTGCAACAACTCTTTGAGGGGTCCGTAGGTGACCTGTTGCAAGGCTAAATTTCTGTCCCTATCCAATATACCCTCATTTCCCGTGGCAGTCTAAATTTCTCCGACCTTAATTCCTTAATCTATTACAGAACCTACCTATTGTATTTATTGTGAACTTGTTCTCGTCCTGAATATGCATGAAATATTTGCCACTGGACGTTAAGCAACCAACAATCAATCAATCAATTAATTGTCGAGAGAAAAGCTTGTTTGATACTTTGCAAAGGAGACGGTATAATAATATCTAATATTGGATTCTAAAATTCCAACAAATAATACACAACAATACTATTATAAACACCTATGATAAAGTTATTATAAAACATCGTCATTTAATTTTAAAAGGAAAATTTGTAATGTCAAAGTTTAAATCGTCTCTTTTCTCGTATATTTTTGTTACAGTTATTTTATTTCGTACAGTTATATCTAAATTGGACAATATCGACGGATAATTGGATAAATGCATTCAACATGTTCAAAAACTCCAACAGTATGTACACAATTAAAATATCTTCTCATGTTAAACATATTTTTTTAGTTTAAAGATTTTTTGTTATTTTCCCCTTTAAAAGATGTCCATGAACGAAAATTTATAAATATTACAGTAACGGTAAAGAAATCGTCGACAATTAAAGGTGTGCAGTTAGTACTCGTATGAATTCGGATAATTTGACGATAAAGATACATGTATTCCAATAACAACGGAAAATAGTGTCAGGCATGAAATGCCAAGCCTTAACGATGCTGTGCAGCAATGGTGTTTTATATTTTTTATAACGAAATACCAGCCAGTTAAAATTACAATTGTAGAAATACTTGTCATTTCTATCGACAGAGTTAACCAATGGATCAAAAGAGTTACGTTTTTTCTAAGACCCAAATCTTTCATATTAAAAAAAAATAATAATAATTGACACCCGTGCTTAAAAGATTTTATTGTAATATTGAATAATTGGAGATTGTTATTAGTAAAAGGTTCGCTAGTTCAGAAGAAGAGACAATTAACGAGTAGTAAATCTGCTAGGAGCGGATCTCAACAGGTGTTGTGAGGGGTTTTGTGTAATTTTGATGTATAGGTTAGTTAATACTTAGTCATGTTTTATGAATATTTAAAGACCGAGGTGTAGCCGAGGGTTTTAAATGTTCATAAAACATGACCTAGTATTGTGTGACCAATTTAGAGCATATTCACACCTTCGAGTGACATAACAAAATTAGCCCCCTTAGTATATGCTCGCGTTAAGTGTTAACATGGTTAGTAAAAGTGATGTCAATCATATTCAATGGTCATTTTAACAAATGGAATGAAATAGCAATAAGATAGTTTTGTGATAACAAAAAAGGATAAATTATTCAAAAATGAAGATTTCTTCTGCTTCAGGTACAATTTAATACTTATTTATCTCTCATTCCTTCATTTTAAAAAAGTACACAATGTTAAACCAATCAGCTTTTCTATAATTGTATAATTATTAATATTCATGAAAATGACAAAACTTTATCAATATTTTTTTTGAAATTACAATCGTTTCAACATCAAATGCTTACTTTTTTATTGATGAATGTATTGGTTTTTTCCTTTGAATTTTTTTTTATCAACAGTCTTTGTTTCTTTTATAAAAAAAAATTAAGGTCTCGTATAAAAATTAAATATTATTTTACATTCATCTTTGCCCTTTTCATTTTTTTTTGGAAGGGAAGTCTATATATGTACCATTCTAAAACGCTTAAAACGTTTAAATATCAACTTAAAATAATTGTATAGTTCTAGTCTTCTGTTTTCATTTATAATAATTAGACAAACAAAACGACTAATGATTTTTTTTATTTTCATTTTTTCCTATGGAAATTGCCTCGGGGGTTGTACAGTTGGTTAGTGCAATTTTTAAGAGTTCACTTTTTGAGTTAATCTACAATGAAATGTCATTCATGTATAGCATTGTATAGTGCATAGAAAGCCATGTACTATGAACAAAAGATGAGGAAATACTGGTTTTCCATTGGACTAGAACGGGTGAGTATGTTCTAAATCTAGTCTAAAGTCAAAATAGTGTGATTGATTGATTGTTGGTTGCTTAACGTCCAGTGGCAAATATTTCATGCATGTTCAGGACGAGAACAAGTTAATGATAAATACAATAGGTAGGTCCTGTAATAGAGGCCGTCCGGGATGAAGGTCGGGGAAATTTGGACTGTCACGGGAAAATGAAGGTATATTGGATAAGGACAGAAATTTAGCCTTGCAACAGGCCACCTACGGACCCCTAAAATAGTTGTTGCAAGGGTTCTTAAGTGCAAAGAACGTGGCACTCTCTTTACACGAGGCATTGGATTTAACGTCCCCATTCTGACCGGACGTGACTGCGAACTTGTACATCCCGCACAGCCAAACGGACGCCCCACTTTAGCGATGGTTTTACCGCCGGTCGGAGGAAGACCAATGGTGACCATATTTCTATTCCCCAGTCACCCTTTGGGGCAAAATAGTGTGATTTTGATGTGACATTGAATGGTGTTTTGAATAAAGATTTAGATTTGTATGACGTCGGAGTAATACTTGCGTCAAGCAATCACAGCATTGTTTGCTGCCAAATCTGGTTTAGGACGTATTTTTCATGTATTTCCTTTAGAAACTTTGCTAGGTACACAAATTGCTTGATTTTTAGTCTGTATATCTTCATACTACTTTATTCGTTTGTCAATCAAGTTTTTAACTTTATCTTTGAATTAATTAGAAACTTCTTATCCGCCTATTCTTGCTCGCACCACCTTGTAATAAAGTTGGCTTATCAAATATTGGTATATATATATATATATATATATATATATCTGAACTTTGTCTTACATATTTGAATCAGGGCTTCAAACTTCGTGCATACAATTAAAAACTGCAAAATCTACCAACAAAATGCCATTCTAATAGCATATCATTAACACTTGGGTTATAATTATAAAAACACTATTTTGCGACATAATGTTTTATAGAAAGATGTCAATGTGGTGAAATATCTTTTTAAGAATGGCATATGATCATATTTTATTGCCGAAATCTATGTTTGAAACTGCTATTGATTTGACAATTTAGCTCGTCATATCTACATTTCTTGCTATAATTCTTTTTAAGTCTAGCGGTTATGAGGAAGTTAAGTCAAGAGAATGGTTTCGGACGCAACAAATTTGTAAAGTGATATTGACTTTCTAGCATTCGATATCGCTGCTGCTGTAATGTTAAAAAAATAATGTATCCATAACTTGATTTATAATTTAGATTGCTCATAATTTTATCATTGGCATGACCTTTCTCAAAACAAAATTATATAAATTGCTCCATCAAAGCGGCCCTAACAGACGAACTCGAAAAATTTGTGAAAAACAATAATTTTTATTTCATTACACAAAATTGTTTTTCATTTTATTTTTTTTTTAAATATTTGAAAACAAAAAAAACTATTTTTCTTATTAATTTCATATATTGCTATTTTTGCATTTTTTAAAATAAATACTGTTTAAACTAACCTTTCCAAAACCGAGCCTATTCGTTCTTTTCATTACAAAAGACGCATATGGCTGCATATGAGTAAAAGCATTTGCAACATATTTTTGGACGGATCATATTGTTAAATAAGGCGACGAACATTTAATATGCGGGCGAAAGGGGGAAGGTGGTTGGCAGGTATATTTTTTCTGATGAAATATACACTTCACCTTTTGTAGGGCTCGGTTTTTTTTTCTATTTTGTTCACACTTATTTTTAGCAAATACCTGCAACTATTGTTGCAGACTATTCATGGTCATCCTGTCTTGGGCAAGATTACACGTTGCCAGGTTCACACAGGTCACAATATTCATTTTCAAAACCCAATTGTTGCCCCAAAACCTCTTTATCTCAAATGATAGTCCCGTAAGACAACTTTTGTTTGAAAATATTGGTGTGGTTATTTTAAGTGTTTTTTTTTTTTAATTTCATTTGTTCACAACAAAAGATTTTATTCTTTTAATACGTTAACACAGTACACGATTATTCTAATATTAACGATTAAAGCGAGACGAAAAATACCATAGGGACATTTTAACTCATAAGTCGAAAACAAATTGACACCGCGATGGCAAAAAACGAAAAACAATCAAAAGACATACAATAGTTTGTTACAAAACTGAGCAACACGAACCCCACCAAAAACCAGGGGGGAGGGGAGGGGGGGGGAGGGTGATCTCAGGGATAAATAATGTAAGGAATTCACGTTATCAGCCTTCCTGTATCTGTATTTCTACGTCGAAATAACCAATGCTTGCATTTAATCAACGGAAGAGGGACAACCTAATTACAGTGTTAAAGAGTTGATTTAAAGCTCTCGGCAAACTTGGCGTACACTATATCTTCTTCAAGCTGGTTTCAATATATCACATTCTACACGACAAGTTATTCGTACATTGATCAGTGTTATAGTGAGTGGTATCAAATGTCTTTGAATTGTTCTTAACTGAATTGTTCACTCTATTTGCTCTTTAAGCACTTCAACCCTTCCAAAACCAAGCACATTTGTCCTTTTCATTACAAAAGACGTGAACGGCTGTATATATGAATAACAGCAAAAGCATTTGCGACGGATTTTATTGTTATATAAAGGGACGACCATTTGATATTTAAAGTCTATTCTTCTGCAAGATTATACATTTAAGGTTCTTACAGCCAGAATATGCATTGTCAAATCCCTCCAGCTTTCACCTTCCTTAAAACTCCCTTTTATCAACAAATGATCATCCCACTTTTGTTGACAATATTGATATGGTTGTTTTAAGTTGTTTTTCTTTTTCTTTTCTCTTGTTTTCAGTATAAGATTTATTCGTTTACTACGTTAAAAAGTACAATAAAATTAACAAACGAGGAAAAAAGGCAGTGTTAACCGATTTTGACAGAAAAAGTTTAATACATGAAAGCATTTAACAACTGCAAGACAAAGTTTAATAAACAGATAGGAACGCGTGGAAAATATAAAACAAAAATAGCTATATCATCGAAAAAAATCTTACATTACCTTACAAATGTACCTGTCTGTATTGATTGTTTTTCAATGTCACGATGGTTATATTTCGGCTCAAAAACAAGAAATTTAATTAGCAATCATAGTGTTCGATCAACACCCACTGACTGAATTATTAGTTTGTTGATCATCTGTTATATAGATTCGTAATAAATGGTAAAAACGTGCAAAGGGGACTTAGAATATATTATTGCATTGGTTCAATAATTCTTGAACATTATAATCACCAGAAACTCGCTTCATGTGATTTTAAAAGAAAGACTTATCTCGAATATTTAATTTGTTTCCTAGGCCTGAATTGTTTTTAATCTATAGGCTTTTCCTGAAACTTCACAAAGATATCTAATTGGCTTATTTTTGGTGTAAATTGCAATGTGTTCTTACTAAAGTTGTACACAATCGCTGTATTTCACTTTCTCGCTGTTTTATTCATCAAATTGGTGCTTTTTTGTCTGGAAATAAAAGACTAGGGGACAAATAGGCTCTTTCCGCACTTACCCCGTATATAAAAAAAGATTATCTTAAAAAACTGAAGTCAACTTTTATATATACACTTATGTACTATTTTAGCTATCGTTGCATTGGTGATCAAGACCACTAGATACAGTGTCGTGAATAAAGTTGAAACTTCTACCTTTTAGGTTAGTGTCACATATAAACTGTATGTTGCAGGTTACCAATGTTCTATTTAAAATATGAAAACAACACTTAAAGAATTCCATGCGTCCGAAGCGCTTTTTTTGGGTTTACCTTCATCAGGAACGCTCAAAGTTGAAAATTGAAAGCCAAGCTAAACAGTTGAAGGGCTATATAACCAAAAAGGACCTAAAGAAATAGCCAAATTTATCTGAGGTCAACTTTGCCAGAGTTGAAACCTTAGTTTCTTATAATTTAAAAATTTATTAACGGCCAATTTTAGAAAGGTTTGTTATAAATCATGTCAGTAGCGAAGTACTGACTACTGAGCTTATGATACCCTGGGGACTGAATTTACCTTCAGCAGGTACGCTCAAAGCCCAAAATTTGAAAGTCACGAATGTATTATAACCAAAACAGCGGAAGAGCTATAATATCTTGTCATCCGTCTATCCGTTTGACTTTTTTGTTTTCCATTTATGTTTAACTGAATGGAACAACCGCGGTCATTTTTGATACGTGACTTTCTTAACATGAATAGGTCATCATGTCTATTTATTGACTTAGTTGTTAGTAAATTTTTTTTAACAATTTGCTAATTCTTAATTGTGTTAAGTATATACATATTTCCATTGTGATTTTTTAACCTGTTCCTATGGTCTTATGAACATTAACGGTTCAAGAGTTTCACTACACCAGATGAGCATTTTGACAATTAATGTTTCTTCAGTGATATTAGAGGCCAAAGATGTTAAAAATGTATATTACTTACTATGCGACATGCGACATGAAAATGTACTAGTAATTGATAACACACCTTTATTCCATGATTGGTTATTCTGTTTTACCTGCCTAGTAAATTGTTGGCAGAGAAAAAAGATAGCAGTAATCCGATATGTGTTATGTATATTTAACATTGCATGCAGCTAACGAGTTTTTTTAAAAGCATGTACAGTTTCTATTACATGTTTACACTTTTGATAACAACGTCCTCTTTATCTACATTTATGTACGTAAATATGTGTCTTAAATTTATTGAAAAGTAAAAAGTAGATACACAAAAAATAAAATTAAATGAATCATTTAATCAAATGGTTATTTTAAACGTAGAATACATTTTGTGATATTATTCAATTGTCAATAGGCCTTGTTGGACTACCGTAGAATTGTAGATCCTGGAACAAACCTTCCTTAACGCTCTCTTTTGCGAATGTTCTGACAAATGAGTTTCTTATGGAAGAAAGAAGTTCAAGCTGACAATGATACATCAGCAGCATTTTAAAGACAAGTTTTTGATCTAAAATACGATGGTAGAAAGCTAAAGAGGAGCAATATTTTGACAAACACGAAATGATTTCTGCTGTTATATGGTATACACATTAGAAATGAATTAATTGCCTCTAAGGGTTACAATATAAAACTATAGGAAGAGAAGATGGCGTATCATCAAGGAGGGTACTTGTCTTATTTTGTTCGTTTTGGTATTATAGAGATATCAAAATTCTTGGCTGGTAACTTCAATTCGAGATGGATAGGTTTGAACATTTGATGTAATTTAGTTTCATTTAGTGATCCTGGTCGATAATTACTGTGTAAAGATCTATCTTTTTTTTTTTAAAATGGGAAGACATTTGTCTGTTTAAATTTGTCGGGGATGGTACCATAATTGTTGGGTCGTTGAAAGAAGTTAGCCTATATGCCTGACAGCTCTGTTACTCTGTCAATATGTCTTTCACTACACGGTGATGTATGCCGTCGGATCCTTTTGCGTTTTATTATTTATTATAGCCTTATTCTTTAGCCTTATTCTTTAGCCTCTTTCCTGCAACTTTGCTGGTTACATTGATCCTCCTCGTGTATTGGTCAACTATCTGGTTGATTGGTGTTTAACGCCATTTTCAGCACTATTGTGCTATTTCGTGGCTTTCAGTTTTTTTATTGGTGGAGGAAGCCGGAGTGTCCTGAGAGAACCACCGACCTTTGGTAGCAAACTCCCCGGCAGGTCCAGCTCCGATCCGCATACTACTCTACACTAATGATGGAGTAAAGGAAAAAAGTTCCGGAACGGAAACGATCACTGTACGGAGTTTGCTTTGGTAGGACAACTAATAATCCTAGTCATTTAAGATCAAGCGCATCTGCCACATGCGGAATTCCAACTCTCAGTGTTGGCAGGCTAGAGATACAGTAGTTCGACTACTTAGACCACTCGTCCACCAAGGCCCCGTCAACAATATGGTACAGAGTCAAACTTTAATCTGTAAAGACCTTTAAAACTGTTGGTTAAAAGTATTTAATTTAAGTGCCAATATGCCTAAGAAGCAGGCAGTGGTGAAAACATGACAAACAAAAACCCACTCAGCTTTACATTAATTTAAGTTCAGAATGTATAATGGTGCATGAATATAACATTCGTTTCCTTTCCCTGTTCTGGTAATTCAAGATATAATTTGGTTGAAATGCACTAGAAATTAATAATTAAGGGGAGATAACTCCGTAATTTGCTATCATTCTAACCAAAATTTATCAAGATATTTCTCGACTTACCAGACACGCAGAAACAAAAGACCTACCATTTCTAACTCAGGGTGAGGGTACCTTCAAAATAGGGTGGTTAGGTCGGTGGGTTATTTTCGGCCATGTTTTGAATTTTTTCAAAATTGCCTGATTCTTACAAAAACTGGCACTTTAAAACTTTCACACTGTAGTACTATCGTAACATATCAAGACCAAAATATATTGGCGATATCATGTTTAATATGTAAACTAATTATTTTTTTTAAGTTCTTTTTTGTAATGTCAATACACCATACATGTAAGGCCGTTTTTTTCTCACATAGGATTAAGGCAAATGAATTGATTGTAACAGATATTCGATTCGTCAACTATCTTTATCGCCATCACCTTGCTAACAACCTATATGGTTGGGAAACATTACCCGTTAGTTGATATGTCATGCCAAAAACGTGTTGTTGATCCGAATCATGCCAAACTTCTTTTTTTTTTATGAAATCAGGTTTCTCTAGTACAGAACTCGACTATATCCATATTGGATTACCAGGCTTAAATATAAACTAATATTATAACAGTAACCAGAGACTTTTGTTCTAAATATTTACTCTTTGAACTTCACTACGGACTAACTTAAAGTAATTAAAACAAAAATGTTTTATATAAAAACAACACGCCAAGAATGTATATCTTCATCAGGAACGCTAAAAGCCGAACATTTAAAAACAAAAGATTATAAGAACCGAAACAAATTAAGAGCTATATGACCCAGAGGCAAAAAGGTCATATCCAGCAAAGCTAAACTTTGCCTCAGGGAGTAAACTGTTGGATAAACCGAATAATTCAGTCCCTCCCCGTAATCGATCTCTCCTGCTTGCGAGGTTAATGGAGTAATCGTAGATCAGCGGAATATATCGACTGAATTATTCGGGTTAGGAGTTGAAACCTTAATTTCTATATAGCGATTAAAATTGTAAAAATAAGGAGATGTGGTATGATTGCCAATGAGACAACTATCCACCAAAGTTCAAATGAAGTTGTATGGTTTAGCAAGTATTTTTACAGTTTCCTATTTTAAAAATCCTTGATTTATCAGGCTAATTTAACGCATTGTTTTATGATCTGGGATTGATATATTCATGAACTATTGATCACAGTTATTATTTATTAATAAATGTACAACCGTCTGGTATATTTACTTATATTTAGTAGGTACTTTTTAGATGAAGATTTTATCAGATTTATCTTACTAAGAGCATCAGTTATTTGATGTAATCTAAATTCAATAAATGTAGGTCTGTCAGTGTTTAAATTTAAAATAAAGCAAAATGTATGTGTCGTATGATTGCAAGTGGGACAACTAGCTAGCAAACTTTAAGACCAAAGGGCAAGTGTGTAAACAATTACAGGTCACGGTACGGTCTTTAACAATGAATAAAACCCATAGCGTATTGTACGGGGTGACAAATGTGAAACGATATATCATAACTCACAATACAACCAAATAATACTTAGTTAATTTCTATATGTATGCTATTATTTCTTTTTGTAAGTCGAAAGGTTGCTCAATTTAATGGTTTGAAATTTAAGGACAAAATAGTAATATCAGAATTATGATTTTTTATGAAGTGGAAGTGTTAATGCTGCATATGTAACAGTTTACTCAAATAAATTGTATTTATTCAATACCAATAAATTAAATCCAGTGACACTACGAGAGCAGATCTCTTCCTTGTTCTGTGAAATACAACAAGTATAGAACACCTTATTTTGCAATGTCCCATAAATCATTATAAAACAACATATGATAAATTTCAAGAATCTTCGTTTCTGATGGCTTCAAATTCTTCACTTATATTTGTTCAGAAAACTAAAATCCATGTATTTAAGAACCCACGCACATGTAACTTTTGCTCAAAGCACGAAAATTGATACCTACGAATAAAAGTAATTTCACAGTTGTTTAGCTAAATGCACAATGAGGCGCAATGCAATCAGTTTCAAGTGATAACCTGTTTAAAATTTTAATCGTAAAAACCTTGATAAAACGTCGATGTGACAATCCACGCTCTACTATATGCATGCATCAGATTTGTAATTTTTTGTCTTTTAAGATTACACCATTGTCGTAACATACACAGTTGCTTACATACATGTGATTTGGACTCTGTGTCGTTGCCAATCATATCACATCACCGTGTGTGATATTCCACTACATGAAGGAGCGTAGATTTATCATATTACTTTTGCAATTATGCATTAAAATATGCATGTTTGTTCTTATGTTGTACTGTTACACTACTGTTCCAGGTTAGGGGGAAGGTTTGGCGCCAGCAAACTTGTTTAACCCCGCCACATTATGTATGTACCTGTCCCAAGTATGGAGCCTGTAGTTTAGTGGTTGTCTATGGTTCATGTCTGTCATTTTTTATTTTTTGCAAATTGTTTTGTTATAAATTAGGCCGTTAGTTTTCTCCATTGAATTGTTTCATATATTTCATGTCGGAGCCTTTTATAGCCGACTATACGGTATTGTTTTTTTCTCATTCTTGAAGGCCGTATGGTTGCCTTAATTGCTTACATCCACTTCATTTGGTCTCTGGTGGATAGTTATCTCATTGGCAATCATACCACATCTACTTATTTTTATAGTGTATGTGCATGTTGATATGACCCACTATTTATGAATTGAGCACAAATTCTTCCAACGGAGGAATCTCTTTTGCTTCTTTTTTTTTAAATTTAAAGGCATATATAAATTCATTGTCTTACATGCTAGATGTCTTATATTGACTAATCTACATAATATCCTTCTATCAAAATAGCAACAAAAACTATTTCAAAAATGTCTCTACTTCAAGGGTATATATACGTAATATATATGCAATCAACCAACAATAAATAAAAATCAAAATGTGATATGAAACTATATGTACTTTTAAGACATTTTTTGTATTGCTCAAATTTGTTTTGTTGATTCAGAAGTGGTTTTTCCAACACTGCCATGACTGTTTTTCCGAAAGAAAATTATATAAACTTTACAAAAACAACGTCACTAAACTAGGAGCAAGAAGAATAAGTGTAAAAATAGATTCCTTTACTTTTGTACTAAAGAAATTAACACTAGTCATCATAACTTTGTGTTACCGTCTCGGTGGTCTCGTGGTAGCGTGTTCGCCTCGAGTGCTGTTTTTTGTGGGTTAGAACCCCGGCCGGGTCAAACCAAAGACTTTAAAATTGGTATTTGCTGCTTCTCCGCTAAGTACGCGGCATTAAGGAGTAAGAGCTGTTACCTTGTTAACTAGCACATTAAAAATCCGGCTAAGCGTGTCGGTCTAGTACAAAGAAGGAT